CAAAGAGAACCATAATATCAAGATACATGGCCTTACTAGCAATACTTCAGTTTGGCTGATAGAGTTTTATCAAAACTAACGCTAAAATAACATGAAATTGGTCACTAATCAGTGATCTTTTAGTGCTTACATTTAAGTTTTATTCTTATTTGCATATGATACATTCAGAAAGGTTACCGTTTGGTTTCAAAAAAGTGGTGTTTTATAGTTTATGTCACAAATTGACTTTAGTTAGACAACGAATCAAAACTGGGGAACACTGGGTAAACTTTTCATCCTAGTATAGAACTCCTTAGCAGTGGGTGCCTATGATCCCATAAGGGGTCGAACCCAGGACCTTCAGGACTCACAATTAGAGCTTGATCCATTTCACGATATTGCGCAAACATCTATGAGAAACCCGAAGGTTCTAAGTTCAATCCCTAGTAGAATCGCAGTGGTGCACTACTAATGAGCTCCATTGCATTTCGGTCCGCAATGATTGTTTAATTAAAGTTAATTTAGGGTGTGAACTCAGAAAGTAGTATTTATTTCATAACGATTTTTTCGTTAAAAATATTGTTGATTATAATTTCTACTTTTCTAAAAACAACCTAGCTGAATTTACTTGACAGATCAATGGTGGTGATTTTTTATTTTTACTTTAGCCAACAAAAAATTGTTTACAGAGTAAAATAAACAAAATACGTTTATCGTGTTCATTCGAAAAAAAGCGAAAGCGTAGTCTATAATATGTTTAATATTAAAAATTTCTTTGATACAAATTGTCTGTTTTTATTCTATATGAAAAGTTAGTTGTTTGTTAATGTTTTTACTGAGGCAGTTGATGAACAAGAACTTCCAAAATGTACGAATTTAGAGGAAATTGTATTTTGTGTATCACACCCGTATATTTATCAGTTTTTCATTATAGTCACAAATCGATAATTAATTCGTCCGCGTATGAGATCGCCGTCGTTGAGACAGATCTTAATTTATACCACTTAGTGTTTCTAGCCATTGATTACAATAATAACGCAGAACCCAACCAGATATTGTGGACTTACTAACAGGACTCAGACTAAGTGTAAATGAACTTATAAGCTAATGGGATGTTTAGGTTTGTTTATCCCTAGTTTTCTTCCAATCTACTTTTACACCGAACAACATCTTTCAAAGTAGATTATGTTTGTACGATAATGATTATATTATAGAAATAAATAAAAGCAACATGAACTATCTCGAATACATAGTCCTTCATTTATATTTTCATGAAATGTTTATAAAGTCCACGGAACACATATCCCTCTGCTTCGTTAATGAATTATAATTTCATTATTTACGTTAAATATATGTGTGTATAATAAAGATGGTTTTTAGAATTGAAATGAATAAATTATTTATAGCAAACAGCTTAGAATCTCCCACTTAATATTATTTATATGGTTTAATCTTATTAAATTTTTATTCTTAAATCCAATTTATCCCATAGGAGCTTAATTTATTTACAAGTTCCAACTAGAGTTATACGTATAAAAGTTGACTTTATTTGTATATGTTTTCCTTGCCAAAGGAGTACATGATATGATGGAATAGTTCAGTGATGAAGACTTCGAAACACTTGTGGTAATGAATTAGTAACTACTCATGAAGTTGATTTCAAAGTAATTGTCTACTTAATTGGTTGAATATATTAAGGAATTTAAATTTGAGATTTATATACACCGATTCCCATCAAAATATTCGTTCGGAGTGTTTCATAAAGTTAGAAAGACAACTAAGTGATCACAATTATGTAAAATCTTACGGATGATTTTTGAGAAACTTAGCTACTAATTTAAATTATCATTATCAAACGCTGTATTTTATACAAGATGGAACAAGTGAACTAATATTAGTCTGTAATATCTATCGAATTATTTTGGCAGATAGTTTCCCTTTGTATCAGGTTTTAAGTTAACTTACTAATCAATTACATCTGATCAATTATTCTGAATACAATGATAAAAATACTGATTTCAATAGATAATCTAGTCTTTTATAACATAGCACTACAAAATAGCTGTTCACATTTTAACTACAATCATTTCGAAATGCCAAGAAAACGTCCCCTATTAATTAAGATTTATATTTGATGTTGGTTAAATGTATATAAGAAACTGTGTACGCTGTTCCGGAAATTTTTAACGTGTGCTGTATTAATATTCAAATTATGGGATTATTGCATTTTGTTCCACAGAATAGTTTTGAAAGACAAAAACCCATTCTATTACTTGTAATACTTTTATAATATCAACATAAATACACAAAATTTACTTCTTGTTTTAAAATTTATATCTCATCAAAGTAACAGAACTCAGTAAACGTTTTAATACTGATACATGAGGCAGAAATAGTGATTGATTTTGATAGGTAATTCCAAAAGTCCTAAGGATAAGCCATGATCGGTGAAATTTGACAATGTTGTGTATGAGGCAGTTACTCAGTGATTGAATTGAGAAATAGTTGGACCAGTTGGGAACGTAGGACATTGGATGTTAATTTGTTGGTCGAAAGTTTAAGCACTCGTTCCGAAACATAAAGATCTAAATTTCAATTCTTACTACAATAGTGAATGTCGACTGCCTGAGAGTACCATACTAGAATGAGGCAGCTGTTCAGTATTTCCTGATTTTCAATTATTGTCTGACTAAAATTAGTTTATGATCGAAACTATGAAATTGAGCAATCTCCATGATATCTTTACACTGATGAAAACCTAAAGATAGTGAATTAAAAGATCCTTATATAAGACGACCATTAAATCCGACTCTAACATTTCAGTGACTAATAAAAATAGTTTTAAGAAAGTTGATACAACACAGCAATCAAGTGATTGATTTGAAGTTATAATTTGTTACACATGCCATGAGGGAGGTCGCCACTTCTCAGTTTCCCACACCATGAAAGATTACTTTTTTGATACTAGGCTAATGGTAGTCTCTACGACTTGTGAAGGGATAACTGCTTTAAGCCAGCCATGCCACTAGTAAACGGAAGTTTTTCATCTATCTGGATAACTTGTCTTTGAGTCGGTTAATGTACTAGATGCATATACTCTTTAACTTACTGTAAATCTTGAATCGCAATATACTTACACATTTACAAGTTTTTTATTTCCATCTCAAACCATATTCCTAATATTTATAATCACTATCATTGTCATTAGTATTACATTATTATACTTTTCATTTGCTTTATATTAATATAAGAATGACGATTTCAGCTAACGTACATTTATGCCTAGGCCCTTATTTTGGTTATAACTGGTATGATAGCCAAATGTGGCATATATCGTTCTATTTCTTCCTACTAAATCTGCAAACAAGTGTGATAGACAAAATATAAGTGAAAGCCCGGCATAAAAACAAAAGTAATTTTTTTAAAAACTCTCAAATAATAAAATGAAAAGAAAACCTGTGAATATAACAGTACAAGAAAAAAAACAACTAAAAAACCCAAGGTATAGGAGATAAATAAATATTTGTGTGTAGAAAATTTGTTCGACTGTTAACTTATAAAATTCGTATATATATATATATATATATATATAAATATATATATATATAAACTTGGAAAGCAAACAAAATGGAGCGGAACGATTAGATACTAGTATTGCTGTCGTTCAATGATCAATCGTCATTTGGATTAGGAAGGAAAACAACTTAAAGGTAGACGAGAACAAACGTAGTGACAATGTCGACACGGGGAATGATAAACTAGTGAAGAAGTAAATGAAATGAACAGAACAACATATCAGTGATAATAATAAATAGACAGATATACTTGTCCATTGGTAGGAAATAAAAACATATTTTGAATAATTACAACAATTATTGTATAAGAAAGTTTATAGGTATCTCTGTCTATGACAAAGGTTGTAGTATAAATTTCAAGCTAAAGGCACTTAATTATGCGAATAGCAACGTAAAGAGAAGGAGTGGAAGATTAAGGCACTTGATAACATAAAATACGAAATGGATGTTGTGCATGTACGTATGTATATATGATCAAGAGGTCGCTTGGTAAGATATTATTCCACAGAGTAAATAATAAATGCTTTTTACTTTTTAATTATTAATAATATCATCGTAATTATTTAAACCTATTTCAATGTTAATTTTCAAGAAATTAAAGATTGTCTGTTATGTTTATGTGCATTTTATAGATAAGCAACACAATAAATCTGATCACGGAAGTCAACTTATTTTCTTTATAGTCTAGTCTAGTCTATTTACTTAAAATGATTCAATCATTAATGTAGATGACCGAGGACGTGAAGATAAATCTATGGCTACCATCTCATTGGCTTGTGAAGAAGTTAAAGTTCTTTCTGTTGTTTCAGAAAACTCTGATGAATTTTTATTTGGTAAACTCCACTGTGTTTCATTCGTTATTTGACATGGATCAGTTGGTACATGATTAGATTCATTGGATTCTTGATCAGTTCTATAACTACTGACATTATTATTACTATTGCCATTATTATTAGTAGCAGTATTAGTGGTACATTGTCCTACAGTTGAACAAATACCTTGAACAACTGCTTTCATACAAATATCAATTTGTGCAGGAGTCAACTCAGTAAAATTACATCCTAAATTAGACATCGTAGAACAAGTTGATGAATTCCATTGGGATGAAGAATCAGAACAATTCATACAATGATTATTTATTGAATTTAAAAATGATCGTGTATCATTACCACTATTAAATGGTTTGAAAGGTAAACTATTAGAATAAGATTTATTTGGTAAGTTAACTAAGTCAGATGATGGAATAAAATTTCGCAAATTTAAACTTGTTATTTGTGAACTTTGGTAGATTTTAGATATTGACTGATTCATAAATTGTGTTGTTGTACAGCATGTATCTGGTATACTAAATACACTTGGAAAATTAACAAGATTAGTAAAATGTTTTGAAGCTGAACTCAATGACTCCACCATTAGATTTGAATCAGTAAGTGATGTATTATGATTCAAATTGTTATTATTATTATTATTTTATATTATTATTAGTATTAGTATTAGTATTATTACAACTATCCGATGTTTGTGAAGTAAACGAATTTTCAGATAAACGAGGATGCATATCACTATCTGTAGAAGACGATGTTGTTGTCCCAGTGGTTATTATTGGATTAGTAAATAATGACTGATTAGATGATACAGTGTTATTTTTTAGTCTTGAATCATTAATTGTTGATAATATACACTTGGATTGATGACGATTTACAGCACTAACACATGTGAATTGTTTACCGCATATACGACATTGCATTTCTGTAGTGCGTAAATGCATTTGTAAATGAATAATTTTCATGTGATAACGCATACTACTTTTAATCTCATAGATTTTTCCACAAAATTTACAAACGTATAATTTTCTACCATTAATTTGACGTTCACATTCATCAATTAAAGTATTTAATTTATCAGCACTAGTTAAACGCCATCGTTTTGCATCAACTTGGGATTTATTCGTCAGTATTGTTGTTTGACTTTCATATAGTTCTGTAGAATTATTATTTTGCTGATCTAATATGTCTGAAGATATAGATCCATTTTCAAATTGTTTATCATTGTTTATTGAAGTAGTTTTTCGAATTGCTGAAATTCGATTTTTTAACTGGATTTTAGAAATATTTTCTGTCATATTAATTTGTTTAATGTCATTATCAAACATTTCAGATATTGTTGTTGTTCCAGGTACTACTACTACTTCTTCTACATTAGCACATTTATCGGCAGTCATAGAATAATTTTCATCGATATCAATTACACTGGATTCATTTGTGATCGGAGAAGAAAGGCATTTATTTGAATAGTTATTTGGACTATGATTTTCATTTACTGGACTAAATTTTTGACAAGAAGAATTAGAAATAGTAGATTCAGTGATGAAATTTCCATCACGATTCGAAGCAATGCCGGAATCACATAGATTTTCGTCGCTTTCTTCTTCCTCTTCTTCTTCAATGAGCACTTTAAGTTGTGATTCTTGTTGATCGATTACTTTACAATCACCGTTCTAATCAGATGAAATAACAAAGGATCATACTACATACGGATCAAATAAAAATGTATTAAATGAGGTATTTCGTATCAGCAAGCGTTCATAAATTTGGACAAGTATAATTAGATATAGCATATAGTAACATAAAAGTTATGCTCATATAAACTGAAAACTTAAAACTTCCTAGTCTGTCTTTTTTCTCTAACAACAACGGAAGCATCAACTGTTTTGCATCTTAAGGTGTATTTAAATATGCTTCAACAAAAGTAAGTTGAGAAACAGCTATTGGTTTTTTCAGAATGCTCACTTAATTAGTTGATCGATCGGGTAACTCAAAGATCATTATTCACTTTAAATGAACTAATGCATCAATCCAAGGTGTCAGTATATGAAACAGAATTTAAGAAAACATAAAAGAAACAAAGAAATGTTTAAAAAAGTGAGCAAGGAAAACACCAGTTGATGTGTGATAATAAGAAAAAGTTTTTGGAAGAAGAATGCATCCTATTAATATCAGTAAGGTCAATTTTCAGCTATTATGTTTACCATAGTCAGTCAATAATTTTTAATGTCTTGAGAAATCTAGCAAAGAAGTCTACACTTTTTACACATCTCAAGTTACCAGTTAATAATTGTTTTAATCATTTCAGTGATTGGCGTTAAGAAAATGTTACGCTTAGCTTTATCATTATACAAACGGAAGTTCAACTACCGATAACACGCACTAGGACAGAAACATCTATGATTAAATGTTTGTAACCATTAAAGTAGTTGTACTTCAGTAATCATACTTCAATACCACACTGTAGTACAAAGTGAAATGCTGCGAGACATAATAAAGCGTTAGTATGCATTTAGATATTCCATAGGAATCTTAAACGAAGCAGAATTACATGTATCGAGAGGTCCGCCAAGATATATGTCATTAAGATAAGTTCAACTTTATGCATAAATGAAGTAAACTCTGTAACTACAAGCTACGCACTTTGGCTCCACAAAAAATAAGCGGTTTTGAGACAATAACATTCCAATATGGTCAACAATCTTCACATTTGAAATGTCTAGTACATATTAGTACAATAATAAGCACAGTTAGTCACATTTTAATTTCGAATCCTAAATAGCTGAAGACTTAAAGACAGAAAATACCAAAGTTACATTCTAAAATGTAGAACTGAACGTCGATCCAGTTAAACAAAGATATTTACTAAATCAAAGGGTACTTTTTTATACGTCCTGATATTTTGGAGAGCGGAAACTAGCTTCAGATCATAAAACTTTTTTCAAATAGTTTCTGTTAATTTTTCTCATTCTAAACGATGAAGTTATTGCAGTTAAGGTAAGGAGTTAACCTTTAGATTTATCTCAGTAGCCTAAAAATCTAGCCCTTACATTCCAATTCATGAATACAAACAAGTTTGAGATTCCCGGATTTGAACACGAGTATTACTATCAGGTGCTCAGAGAAGACTGAAGAATTCTGCAACTCAGGTTTATAAACGTCACCAAGCATTCAGTAGGAAAATGATGGCCATTGGTATAAAACGACAAAGCGTATTGAAAAATTAAACGCATGCAATCTGCTGAAAGTTTTTAGTCATGGATAACATCAACAAATCGTCAAAAGAATGAGCTACTAAGTACCATTCTAATCAACATAGGTGTCATAAAAATTCCATTTAGTTGCCCCTTTTAGCTATAGTCATCTGTGTTAGTGAACTATTGAGGGAGAATGCTACAACACGTTGTTCCCAACTGAACTGGTTGTGTAATATCATGCTTAATATATATGGTGAGGAGTGAGAAAATATATTACAAGCAATGATTTACCGTAAAATCTTATGCTTTGGATAAACAAGACAATAGCTGTGTTAGATGCAAAGATGGAATTTGCGTACAGATCTGTAGGATAGTTAAGTAAAAATAATAAAAAAATTTCCAAAGATTATTTCACATTTATAAAATAAAGCCACAGTCGATTTCAAATTTAACCCCGAAAACTGTAAGAACCTATATAAACGATTTAACTCACTTCATTTAAAGATTGAGTTTTTATAGAGCAAAAGCTCATTGGGAAATCGTTGTTTATCATGCAACGTGGATAAGATGGATATCTACAAGGCGTTTGAAAACTTTTGGATTCATCAAATTCCCCTTTAGATGTTTTGCACATGCTAAGTATCACATAACTGATTTTTTCCATTAGATGAAATGAAATCTGAAATGCTGACAGAAGTTCGTTTGATGACAACCTGTTTGCCAATATTGACGCATTTTGAACCTGTAAATTGCGCATAATTCAGTTCTCATAAACTTACCATTTTCGTGAATTTTTCCAGATACTCTGTATTTATTTCCTGTCCATCATGTTCTCTGCACTCACCATCACTACCCGAGCACTTCATAACTCCAAAAATGCACAAATTCTCTGTCCAATTAAGGTCACCAATAGACATTTCACAGAAGTAAACAAACAATCACGACGATCCGAAACATGTTCAATGTCTACAGACCATCTATTAATCTGAGATACACGAAAACGTTTTCAGAGTGAATAACAAGTGTATACTAGTTGAAACTTTCAACTCGAACATGGACAGGCAATCTTATGGAAGACAAAACACGTTTACAGTTATGGTAATTGAAAGTGATTCAATTCATGCAACACGAAATTTAAGGTTTCAAAGCCTACTGCATCATTACTTGGAGAAAATAGCATGATATTATAACATATGTTTAACTATTATGCATCCAGCAGCTGTAAGCGTACCACACGCAAATTTTCTAACACGCAAATCATATTCTGAAAGACTACCTAACAAAGATGATTGTGTATGCTGGCTCAAACACTACCTGTCGACATAGCAGAACTTGTAAAGGATACTCACACGTACTTTGGAACTGCCATAAATGCGGTGAAAAGAGGTTGGGAATTAAATCACTTACTTGTCAAACTTTTTAGTAGTCTGAGATTGATGCTGATATATGTCGAGAATCGAAAACTGTCCTGTTTGTTTACATGAGCCATCATACAATAAACCTGCCCCGCATACTTGCCCTGCATCTTACGAGTCGCGGTAAAGCATGCACGTAGATTACTGTGGTAGATTTGTCGACTTATATCACACTTCATTTATTACTGGTTCACATTCCAAGTGACAAGAAGCGGTACCCACGAAAACTTCCAGAAGAAACTTTGCTCCAAGAGTGATGAAGAGGATATGTAGTCTTGAGGCTATACACAAAGTATTGGTAACGGAATCAATTTCATAGGAAAACATTTTAACGGCTGGCTTACTGATGTTTGATGCGGTCATCTATTTACAGAACCATGACATCCTAAGTTTATTGATTTAGCAGAAAGTTTTGCTGAAACTTTGAAGATTGCTATCACATCAGAGAATCCAAGTACTCCAGGCGAGCTAGAAAAATGTGTTCACAGTTTCATTCTTTAGTATAGTAACGCAGAACATTCAAGAACTCATGACAGTTCATCTAAACTCTCTAACTGGTCCCAAATAACAGACACATACAGACAGACGTGTGGCGTACGTGGTGAATAACTAACAAACATACTGTAAAATTAAGTGTTTCGTGTTGCTGTAACAATGCAATACGATCTCATACTGGGTACTTCCAGTGCGAGTTCTTGTTTATGTCTCATCGAAGTTCTAGGCTTGTTGGTAATAGTAGTTTTCCGTTATTTTATTTCAAACTTACACTGCATCCGCAATAAAATGAGAAATTATCAGATTCTTATTTACTTCTTGTTCAATATATAACAAAAGTCTTTCAGGTGGGCTTACCAGGTTTATTCCCCTACGAGCTAAATACTTCAAGCGTGAGAGTCTCACTTTTAAACACACAATCCTGCCAACATTCGGTATAGGGTAATAAGAAATATAGTCCCCACACAAAACTAGGAAGGAAGTAAACATTCTAGTTTTAATACTTTAATTTTAATGGGATATTGTGAAAGGACGTCGGCCGCTTAGAAAAATAATGAATGATGACAAGCGCGTACTATTTGTTAAAAAATAGACAAAAATGGACTACAAGAACTCTCTACTAGGCCTCAGATGATAGTAGACCTAGGTGGTTTTTCGAACTGTGACATCTTTCACAAGCTTTTGCTGTGTGACATATGTTTGCGTTTATCTCGGGCCACCAGCATATTTTGTCAACACCCGAATGATTCGTACTACGGCCTTTGTCTATAACACTGGGTATATGTAGTGGTATTGGTTCCTAACCACAGGATCTTTGAAGCCGAGCATATAATTACTGAGATTTATATTCAACATCTAACACTTGAAGAAGGTCAGCAATAGTAAACACAAGAACATTCATCTATTCAATTGGATGGCATGGCTCATCCTAGCAGACGTGGTTATTATGTGTAACTTATTACTACTTACATTAAATATACTATTTTATCCCCAACTCAAATATATTTCTCAGAATTACTGAGTATCATAATGTTAGTTGTCACGATACGATGAGTGAGTGTAGAGATTTACGTAAGATCTTATAGATAAGGAGTAGTAACATCATTACAAATCCACAATTTGAGGATGAGGTCTATGATTAGAGTAGTACTAATGCCGAATAACATCATAATTATATATATATATATATACACTCAAAATATCGACTAGTTTCTTGAACGAGATTTGGATGGATTACCGGTAAACGCTGCATTAAAAAAACAATCAGGATATTATGATAATTAGGAGTATTTGAATTATGGTACTAACTAAGAATCCCATAAATAACGCAATCGAATGGAGAAGTACTACACAATCACTAACAAATACACTGTATTTGATATTTGATATCAAGCATTCAACAAGTACAAAGGAGTCATTAGTTCATTCAAACACCACATCCGCCACAGATTAAATTAGAGTCTAAGTGTTTGTAATCAATTGTACGTCTTCTTTTCAAGTTCATCCTGTGTCTGTCCGACAGTGTATTGGATAAAGACTCTGCATTATCTACAATGCACTCATTAGTATTAGAAATAACAACATAAATCAGAACAAACTCACTTGATTTATGGGATTGTGAACAATCATCATGGCGGTTGAGTACTGAAATTACTGCTGCCTAGAATTTAAACCATAGACATTCAGACCATCCTCCCCCACGAAATAATGTCGGATCTTTATATCCCCAAGTTATGAACAATGTGGCTTCACTTAAACATCTTTCTGAAATTGACTAGAGTTTACATTGAAAGTGACTTTATGGTAAGGACAAACAACAGTTGATATGGCATCATCTGAACTGCAACAAGAATCGAGCTCATGTGTAGTGACCTAGTTTTGTCAACAGAACGCGATTGCTTTGATGAAAACAATTATTATTATAACCAATTGTACCAGTGATTGTTTTACCGTGCTCGTTTGTTTAACTGTTCTAATGACAGCCATTTCGGCCTTACATTGAACTCCATTACTTCTGCGCGGTTTGTGACCCTACGCACGTACTTTCTCCTGCCGATCACACTTGTACTCCTTTTGGAACGATCTCGGTATTCTTTCGATACCACGAGATCGCCAGCAAATATATCTCGACTACAGCCATCATCTGTCTTTTGATGTTGACCTACGGGAATCTTATTGGTTTACTGTCACGTAGTCTTGTAATGGTGTTCATAATCAAGCACGATTCGACACCACGCTACACATTTAATACTCGTGCTTCGTACTGAACAAGTATTCCACAAGAAACAAATGCATTATGGAGACAAATAATATTTGATATGACATCAAACTTTGACTCTTCTGAAATGGTTTCCTCAAATTTATTAAGAATGTCATTGCAGAGTATAGGAGCATTAGATAAATCAGCATCTATCAAAACTACATCAGGTTGTCGATCATGCTTAGGTTCATTCGAAATATTTTCTTCAGATTTGTAAGAAATTTCATCAGAAATATGTGAATTATTAGGGAAAATAATATCTGGTACAATAATGTAAGAAAGCTGATAAGTTGATTGATTAGGAATTGTTGTCTCACAAAGATTCTGAGTTTCAGTTAACTCTGAACTGCTGTATGACTCTAAACTGTCTTTTGAAATCATTGATAAAGATAAATGATCATTATAAATACTCAACTTAATAGAATCAAAATTACAAGACGTAATAATAGTTGCAGCAAGATGAACAGTAGTATTACAAACTGACTGAATATGTCCAACATCACCACATTTAAAGCACTTAAAATTACGAAATATTCATGAATTAAAAGAGTGGAACCTGCCACAGCACAAACATTGTTCAATATTGTGCCCATCTTCGTGAACTCCTAAATGGATTAACTGCATTACTTTGAGTATGCACTGGGGTGTGGTGACGTAATGTATTGGAATCTTTTATATTCTCATGAATCATTTCACGAAATCTTCCTCCTTTAACGCATTCGGAATTTGTATACTTAACATAGTCCAGCAGTAGTTCCTTGAGAGTTGCATGAGGAAGCAAAATGGGCTTTTCCGGTAAAGCCAGAATTTTCAATAAGATATATGCTTCTTTTCCGATGAATGTGAGGAAATGTGCTACAATATTAACATCTTCATCATCTTCCTTGGTCATAGTGTGGTGTTTGAATGAACTAATGACTCGTTTGTACTTGTTGAATGTTTGATTTCGAATTCTAAATACAGCACATTCGTTAGTGCTTGTGTAGTATTTCTTGATTCAATTGCGTTATTTCTGGTATTCTTGGTTCATACTATAATTCAATTACTCCTAATTATCATATTGGCGTCGCCATGGAGCCTGCGTTGGAACAGTTAGATATTCATTCAACTTCTGAAGCTTTTGAGGATTAATTAGAAAGGTTTGAAATTTGGAGCATGACCAAGAAGGATGTTAAAGGTGATAAAGTTGTGGCACATTTCCTGACATTCATCGGAAAAGAAGCATACAGCTTATTAAAAACTTTGGCATATCCAGAAAAACCTATCTCACTACCTTATGCAACTATTAAGGATTTATTATTTGATCATGTAAAGTGCACTAGTTTTGAATGACGTGAAAGGGCAAAATTTTATAAGATGACTCGTCGAAATGACCGAAAGGTTGAGGAATTCATTCTTGAATTGCAGAAACAAGCTGCCAAATGTAATTTTGGTGATCAACTTCATGTGCAACTGAGAGACCGATTAATCGAAGGAATCAACATACCGAGTTTGGAAAGAGAACTGTTAAGAATGCCCAACTGTTCCTTTCAAGATGCTAGAACTGCGTGTATTAACTACGAGGCAGTGAATGAACTTGATATCCAGTCGATGAATATTTGTAATACTTTGCTTAGTCGTCATGATAGAATACAATCTCAGGGTCAATCAAAATTGCGTTCGTTTAACAGTGGCTCCTATTCCCGTGTAAATATGAAATCTGTTTCAACAAGGAATCACAAAGGAAATCACAAAGGTGAGACCAAGT